GAGTGACCAGACAGGAGTAGATTACTGACTCTCCAGTCGACAATTTTCACAGTCCACATCCATTCTATCTGCTGTCACAGATTCCCATCTTCTCATGTTTCTGGTTACCTGAACAGCCTTACGAGTCAGCTTCATACATTGTACAGACATTCCACGTCCCCAATCTTAATCTCGCTTTCTAGCTGGTATTCATTTATTGCCTTCCACCATATAGTCTCTAATAATAATAGGCCAGTAACTAAGAGAAAAGCATGAGCTCCACTAATAATTCATTTTCGTTTCTCTGTGTCACATTTTCGACACCTTGTAAGGTACACTTTAAAACATCATCACATATATGTATCAAATTTGGTTGTTGCTAACAAATTTGACAATATGTGCACGGATACGACTATATGCACATAAGAAGGTTGTTTATGCCTACTACGATTAGTTTTAATGCGATGTATGTATATTACACCATTGAGAATGTAAAGTATGTCCAGACTACCCTCAGAGAAATTCATTTGTCTCATGTGGCTGAATTACTTGTTACCTTAACTGAAATTTATGCGATATTTAACACATATTTTTATTCACATATTTACCGTCACTGGTAAAACATATTATCTATGAAGCTAAATACATTTGAGCATATACTGAGAGATGACCTAAATGAAAACGGTATTGTTCGTTTATATGACTCGTTTTAATTTCCACGATTAGCAAATATTTTTATGAAAGATGTGTGAGATTGAAGAACAGTAATTATTAATCACACTCAATCGGAGAATTGTTTTGGGGATATGGGGAATGTGGGTAAAGTTTTTCGTTTGAAAGGGTCAATGTGGGAGAAAGTGGGTAATTAACCCCATCTAAACCTGCGAAAATTGGGTTAAGGCGTAGGCTGGGTAAAATAGGCAAATATTGGGAGTAAAAAGTTTAAGTAACATGAGCAAACGTGAAAAAAGTCTGAAATATGGGTAATCTAGGCTTCATTTTACCCACTTTTTTCCTATCTTGGCAGACCGAAATTGCCTATTTATCCCACGTTTCACCCATGTGCATTCTCCGACTGGGCATCTTGTACCGAAGAAGTGCAGTTCATAACAGTTGAAACAGCCAACTGATTTAACAGTCACAGGATTTCATCATGAGTTGACATCGGTTAGAGAACCATTGGAAAACTAGCTGGGAGTACCGGACAGCTGTTTCGTCCTAGTTTTGGACTCTTCAGCAGTACGAACTCACTCACAGGGTTCGAACCCAGGATCTTCTGGTTACAAGGCTACCGAGCTCGTATACCATTAAGCCACTGGGACCCGATCCAATGGCCAGTGCATGAATTCTAACTTGTGCCAACTCATGACATAGCGCAACCACTAGCCAATGTCTTTGGCGAGTATTTGTCCTCACACCCGACCCACTGCACCCTACTGGTCACGACTTCCTAGTACTGTCAGGTTTTCCAATGGTTCTTAACCAATGTCAGCTCATGGTGAATTCCTGTAACCAGTCAACCAAATCCCTACAAACCAATACTTGATTTAATAGTATTTTCAATGAAACGGAAACGCGGCTTTTTCATGAAGTTGAAATAATTCTGGAATCTATTGTTTAAAAGTCATTTTTTCGGTCATTATCACTTTCTCTTTGTTTCATCACTGTATATATCCAGCATATTTATTTAGACTTTGACTGCCCACTTTCGGAATTCTGAGTGATTACTACGCGAACCTCATTTCTCATGAGATTTCGACTATACTTCAACATGGAAATTTCCTCACCGTGATATATTTTCTCCATGATCACAGCCACTTAAATGCCTTAACTTGACCTACGCATCACCATTGTTCATTCAACCTCACATTCACTCATATGAATGCCACAGTCATATTAAAATGAACTCAAAACTGTCTGCTATAAAGTCTAATTGGCTCGACTAACTCAGACGTAATTAGAATTGGACTATTATCTTTTCTATTTTACTTTATTCCTTCGCTTTTTGAAATGACCGAATGGCTTCAGGCCTGAGCTTAGAAGATTCAGTAGCAGTGGTTTTATCATTACGGGATGTGATGCTAGCCCCACGTTCGACGTTTCATGTCTACCGAGCTAATCACAAGCTTAGTGAGGTTAAAGAGAGTGTGGAGCAGGGATCGAACCTCGGACTGCATGCATAGTTGGAGAGTATTTTACTGTTGAACTACCGACGCAAGAAGCACTATCGATTATGCTGTATTTCCGCTTCACTGATTTTAGTGAATATTAAAGATCAAATCGCCTAAAGCTTTTTTACATAGTAGATGAATTCACACCATATTCACACTACTGAATTTTCCAAATCTGTGGGAGGCGTCTGTTTTCTGAGAAATATGAAAATGTGGGTGATTAGGGCACTTGTTTAAAAGCGGTAGCAATCGGTAAACACTAGAATCCATCAGATGGTTTTCATCGTTTCAGTCAACATTTTGTAGAGGAATTAGCAACTACATGTTTTACTGCTTGAATACTCCAAAATATATATCAGACGCAGCTGTATATCACCAGTCAACATTTGAAAATGTTTGTATGAGATAATTCCTGCGATTTCCATGATTAAGTAACGTTAGAGGCGTGTACAAGCACAAGGAAATACACAAACCAACATGGATTTCGCCTGACAGACAGACTACAAACTGGAGAGATTTCATCTCAATGCTGCTCAATGAAGTTTAGATGCAGCCTGTTGGATAAATGTCAAGAAGTGTTCCAGATGTGGACTAACATATCATCTAATTCAAGAAACCATCAAGTGAAGCTGAAATCCCTCGAAACAACTGGAAACAGCCTACTGTATTTCAAGCTCAACATTCAGAAACTAAGATGAAGACAAAAAACGAGGAACACCTCCAGTACAGAACAGATCAGGGCAAAGTCAGTGACACAAGGTGTCATCACTGAGGAAACCTGTGTGGAAGAACACTGTAAATAACTGTATAAAGTCGATGTTCAAGGAAACGTGTACAAGTGTTGTAGGAAGGAATGGGGGGCAAGACAAAGATTGCCAGAGTAAAGAAGTGAAGGAGAGTTCAAGGAAAGACGAAAGACGATTCTACGACACACTGGCCAGCAACTGAAGCAGAACAGTCAGGCAGGCCTCAGGTGAAAGTGACCTTAGAATATTATATCGGGTAACCACGTCTCTGTCTGCGAAGAGATCAATGCAGGTGAAGAAACAAATAGAGGATTTTTCAAAGAACCTAACTAGCATTGATGAGTAACAAGTAAAACAATGGTTGGATTACCTAATAGGAGTCTTGAAACGACCATCACCTGCAACTAGCCCAGAAATATCACTACAACCAGCAGCACGCAGCACGCATGCCTACCAGTGGAAACTAATCTCCCAGCGTAAGCAGAAATCCTGAATGCAGAACTCTCCCATACCTGCGAACAAGCTAAATTCAGAAGAGGTAAATCATGCTCTGATCAACTTGTAACTCTACGCACCGTCATCATCACCACAGAACAAAGCATAGAGTGGCAGTCAATTCTGCCTCCAACTCAACTTAAACGACTTCGAAAAGCCTTCGACAGATAGTGTTATCTGAGAAGTAACTTGAAAATTGCTTCAATACTATGGTGTGCAGTGATTCAAGTCTTCATCAACCCTGTTCAACAACTGGCTATATGACATTGCCACGTATCACGTGATCCACAACGGGAAACGCAGTGAGGCGTTCGGAGTGAATACAGGAGTAAGACCAGGCTGGCTGGGTATTATCACCGATGAAATTGTTGATTGTGGATGGCTGGATTATTTGTTAGAGTGTGCGTGGGGAGTGAGAAGAAACGAATACTCTGGACAGGCCGATGAGAAGACTCCAGAAGATATGGATTTTGGGTGTTGATGATAAACGTCTATTGTTATACAAACTAGAAGACCTGCAGATGAAAACCAACAAACAGAGTGAAGAAGCAGCCAGTGAAGACAGGACTCCAGGTGAACTTAGAGAAGGCGGAGACAAGGGTGGTGAAGACAACCAATCAACGAACTAACAGCAGCAACAACTAGGACTAATCTTCATCAACGGGAGAGATTTGAACGAAATGACTTCCTTTACTTATCCTACTGGCAACCATCGTTTCAACCACAGACAGTCAGAAGGGATGAAGATGTCAAAGCAGGTCAGCTGCAGTCTGAAAGGCAAGATACACCTCCATCAATATGAAACCAGTTAAGAAATCTGCTTCTGCACTCCACCTCAGCATAAGAACAAGATTCGGATTTCCAACACCAATGTTAAGTAGTTAGTCAGTTCTTCTATACGATTGAGAACTTGGACTTAGCTCGTGTCACGAAAATCATTTCCAATGGGCTACCGAAGACTTTCATCAACAGCTGCCATCTTCGCTGAGTCCATGCTGAAGATCAAATGACCAGGTGGCCAGAAAGAATCGGAAACGATAAACCCTACTGAAATGCAGTCACACAACAGTCAATCACTCAACAAATGAGCAGGAGAAAGTATAGTGACAGGCCGTCACGTGACATCGCACTCAGTGCAGGCCATCGCTGGAATGGAATCCCAATGGAAATCTACGGGTTGATCGTTGGTGCGAGAGTGACATGGATGAGATTGTGTGGTGTCGAGGAGGTGAGAGATTATTGGCCGTCGTGCAGGCATCTGAAAAGGACAGCAGAAAACTGAACAAAGTTAGGATAGGTTGCTGAAGCCCTATGTTCCACTCGGAACCTAGGGTAATCATAATAATAATAATGCTTTCATCAAATATTTCTGAAACCTTACTGTATACTTAAATTCACTGTGATCGAGAAAGTGAAAATATGTAATTCAACTTTCCTTGTGTTGTAACTAACAATGTTACTCAGAGCAACCTTTTCCATGGTAATCCTCAACAGTAATTTTTTAAATGACACTAGTACTTCAGAAATATCTGTTCTATTTAACAGTTTCGTTCATTCAACAGAAATACAAATTATGAATATAACAGCACAAAATGTCTGACATCATTTTCTACATCTTTTTTAAAGATATCAATGCAATGCCTAGTGTAATCAGAAAAAGGATAAGCACAGCATGTGCAGTCAATGAAGCCATACAGTAATCTGTACCAAATGCTCTGAATTCACGAGCGCCAAGTGTTATCTGACCGATGAATAGGGCAATCTGATAAACATAGAAGAAAACATTGAAGATGAGTTGTGAATTCACTGAAGATATCGGCTTACTTGTAAGTCACTGGAAAAGTACCACATACTTCTGAGGATCTCAACAATTTGTATTATTATTCTTACTATTATTATCATAGTCATTTCACACGCATTCCAAATTATGCTGCACTGAACAAAGATGATGCTAAACTTTATTTGAATTCATTATAGCGGAGTTTATAAATTTATTTCTCTTCATGAATATCCAGATGGTTCACTGGATGATAATCGGATCTACTGTAGCATTCTGATTGGGTTGAATACAACCTAATGAGGAGATACGCAACAAGGTTACTCTAATAATTGAAATGAGGCGCCTAATTTAAAGCAAACAGTTCCAGTCCGTTATATTAGTGGTTTGTTCGAAATCGACTAACCAGCAACGGATGGCATCAAATGCCGTCAGTGTGAGAAATCTAGACGAAGAGGTTATCTCATATTCTTATCTAGGTAGCATCATTTCAACTACAGGCGATACAGCTGAGGATGTCAAAGGCATTCAGCATTCGAAAAGCAAGATGAAATTTCATTACCCCAAAGTCAGTGTGGAAATCTGCTGCACTGAACATGTGAAATAATATTCTGACTATCAACACTAATGTCAAATCAATAAGCGCTCCTACATTGCTCAAAGATTTAGCGTCTGTTTTATGAAAAACATTGCAGCCGACAGCAGACTTTTAGCAACAGCTGCCTTCTTTCCGTACTGAAGATCAGATGACTGGCGAGAAACAATAAACTGCAAGGAACTCTACCAAACAACCTCTTAGGAAATTGATGGACATTAGGCACGCCGAATATAATCGAGATGGTCTGAACATACGCCGTGTGGAGGAAATCACTGAATGATGTGATGCTCGAGGCAGTCCCACGAGAGGGACCAGAATTAGGGGCAGCATAACGGGCGTGGGTTCAACAAAGACATGGGGGATATGAAGGTTACACGTAGTTGTATAACCGCCTGAAAGGTACTGCATCAAGTAGCGTGAAATGGGGATTAGTTCCTGAAATCCAACGTTCCTCTCAGAAAATAAAGCCATAACACCAATAACAAAGTAATTAGTGTACTTTAAAATGAGGGAGCATTATCCGCGCTTTGTTCACTGCTATTGGCACACAGTGAATTTTATTCTACAGTTGTGAAATTGTTCTCTGAATACGACGCTAGGTGATTATTGGCATTTTAGCATCGGTGAAACAGATTCAGGAAAGTAACATAAATGAATAAAGGAAGGTGTCTGAAGAAGACTTACAGGGATTACTAGAATGGTTGTGCCTACCGCGAGAATCACCAATGCCCAGAAAGTCTGCATCATAGGAAAAAATGATAAATGTGTGTACTCAATAAAATATCATTCATGCATTTCTTTGTAAAGTAAGATTATTACATCACTGAATGTATTACTGTGAACCTGACTAATTCACGATAATATCCTAGTCAAATTACTCACTGATTAGATAATTTCATGAGTTTTCCGTCACTTGAGACGGAAGTATTTCATTTCACGTTCTACTTATTGTAGAAACAATGGCATTTATTTCCAAAGCGCGCTTACCTGTTTAATCCCAAAGTGAACTCCAAGTGTAGCAGCGGCGAGTGCAGCTGAGAATAAAGCATAGCCTATCAGCATTCCAAGAGAGTCCACTTTCAGTTCACTCTTCAACGTTGCACCAATCGATATACACATGATGAAGAGAACCACAGCTATTGACATCACAACAAGTACCCATATGTAGTCTTTCCCTATGAATTCGGCTTCTGTTAATACGGTCAGGCAAGCAGACTACAAGGAAAAGTAAATTGAACATGAGAATTGGGTTTTAATAAATAAATAAATATTCTGACAGTCTTATGAACACAATTTCATGGTGTAGGCGAATGAGCTTTAAGGGTGACTCAGAAAAAATTGGAATGACCAATAATGAGTTTTCAGCAAGTCTGTCACCTCAGTGAAGTCACACCTCATAATACTTTTTCATGTTAATTTGTAATATACAACATGGTTGAGTGCTCAGGAGCATTGTTATATGGTCACCTCCATAACACTATGAGCTGAAAAAAATTGTGAAACTTCAACTGGAATGACAAAGTATTTTTACGCATTACACAGGTGCTCCAAACTAACCAACATTTCAAATCAAAAGTCACTGCACTACAAATATCAAACCACTGTTTACTGAGATAGTATCTAAGATAGCTTATGGAGTATTTGTTCTCGTCATTTGTTTTACTAACTTTCGATATTTCATTATCAGTAATGACTGCATTGACGCCCATCGAATAATTGTTTAATATTTGTGAAGTCGACTGATAAATTCATTATTCGTCAGAATCCAGCTGTTTTACAGGGTGTAGCCTTACAATAGATTTCATGATGAATGTGTGAAGAAGTCACCCTATGACCGAGAAATTGAGGATATCCTGTCTAAATATATTCTTCATTTTGTAATGAAACGAAGCGAACGCTAGTAAATATTCCATGTTCCAAATAGTGTTAAACTAACAAAATGTATTTCTAAGTATACACACGAATAATAAATACACTGAATTCATACATGTAACGTTGTCAACAAGAAATTTAGGGGAACCGTTCCCTTATTCTGTTTAATAGGATCAGCAGACACATTAATGCGATTTCAGCAATGACCCTAAAATGCAAAGAAAGTTGTTGTCAATTGAACAATTTATTAGTCACTGAAAAATGCGAATTTTGCTTGAAAATTCGCAAAGCAAATAATTTTATGTGAACACAAACTTCATGCATGATTCTAGCTTGATTCTTCTATTTCGCACTACACTGGTTGGGCAGTTGGTTTAATTTCAACGCTACTTTCAGTGCAGTCCAAAATGAAATAAGAGACGATGGAATATTCCTCACACATTTAGAAGTTGGATAAGATATCCCAGCGAAAAAAATATTCCCTTGTGCAAGTATTTACCCTTATAAATTATACTTCACCTGTTGAGGAAAATCTCTTGATTCCTAGACTGTGATTTATGGGTTGATTCTGAGGAATAAGTTTCATTTGGTGTTAAAGTAACACAGGATACTGAATAGCTTATCATTCAGTGTACTAGTGAAGCTGATGAAAATATGGTCGATTGATTTGATGGAGTCCCATTTTAAAGTATCCTTCCAGTCCTATTGGCGCTGATATGTTTCTCATCAGTACGCATAGTTTATTTCTACCAGGGTGTGAGTATAGTTGGCATTTGAATTTTCTGTGTGTCATCGAGTTCATCATTACCGAAATTCTAATGCAGAAGAAAACTGAAATCAAATTATTATCTTTCTACGAATTATCAGAAGGACTGACCTTATACTTCCTCTGATTTCTCAGTCTCCATGCACTTGACAGCTTGTTATTTATTCCTTATGTCTTTGGAATGATTATGTGAGCATTCACGGAAATTAAATTTATGCAGCTACCTTTAACTTTGTAGACGGATCGAGGTGGGTGATTACTTTGTTATCCTAAAACGTCTAAAAGGTGAAGACAAAATTATTATCGCCTGTCATTTTATAATGGAGGTTGGAGAGGATACTCCACCTGCATTTAGATAGCCGATATCTTGATTGAGACCATCCACGTAACAGCTTACATCATGTTTTGCCGGATTACTTCTTACAACTTGAACCAAACGCTACATCATACTACACTGAGTCACACAGACGATGGTTCGACACATTCGTTGTAATTTGATTTTTGATGTGAATGTGTGTGGTTTTCTATCCACCAAACAGCTGCAAACCTCACTTATATCTTCTGTTAACCTGATGTAATATTCCTCATGTCATGTGATATTGGAACAGAACTTATGATGTTACTACCGTATATCAGGTATGAATATAGGGTGAGACAAAAACTAGAAAACCATCTCACAGTAAAATATAAAATGTCGAACTATAAGTGACCAGTTTATAATTATGTATATATATAGACTTAAATGCAATTTAATAAACCCAGTTTCATTATTTGTACAACGAACACACAGTACGACATATGATATTGTAGCCACTATCCAGTAATGTTGATTATCTTTTGGTCTGAAAGATAATTAGTTAACTATTTATGTATGTTGATATACATGAACGCCAGAGCGATTGTTATCCCCAGTGTGATAAAGCACATCACAACAAGAAACACTATAACCTATAATCAGTAATTATATTCACCAAAGGATAGAAGACCTACTCTTTTCGGGTATTTGTCTGACGTTTCAAATTCACGATTCACTAGTAATGAATTTCCCATAGTTTTCATATTTTTCATATTCCCTGAAAATTCTGTCAAAATACATCATGTAAAATGTAACTGTCATATAAAGTATGTTAGACTATGTGTGTGTGTGTGTCTGTGCATGTAAAATGATGGCGCATAGCCATAATATCTACAGTGAAGTCCAAAATGAACTCTAGTAGTTAGATGAACATGGATTCAGTAGTTCCTCAACTGTTATCAATAAAGGGGTGTTATTTCCAATATAGTTCATGGATGAACTTAATACCAGTTAGTCAGCTTCATGCACACTCGTTTACTGTAAACTGTGAAAGGCATGCGGATCAACGAGATGTTGAGTGAAATCTAATAGTTGTGATTACGTGTGTCTCATGTGTGACATGTCTGACGGTGGGAAGACAAAAGTAAATGAAACATAGTGGAATCTGTAATGTCACACTATGTGATGATTTTAAGTATTATTTAGCAATTGTAATAATCAACAAATATATGCTAATTAATAAATATTCAAGAAGAAATCTCAAAGATATAAAACAACACGTTCGTTCACCTGACAGAGTACTCAAAATCATGAAGAACACAGAAAGCCATAATAGTAATCCAATGATAAATTTACCTGATTTCATTTGTGTCGTGTTATTTGACGAATGTTGTTTTCAATGTATTTAAAGCATATTTTTACCTTTCTCCGTGCAAAAAATCAATAATAGCCAAATGGTGCAAAAATGTTTAGTTTAATTTATTGAAACAAAGGTAAGTATGAGTGAACTTCGGTCGTCATGCAAAAAAATTGCGATTGAACATGTTACGAGTAGGAAAGCAAGTTGTGTATAGTGCTTCAGACACAACCTGCAATTTGCGTATTTGAACGTCATTGACTCTCCTCTTAAAGGTACAGGCTAGAAAGAATATGAAACTTTACTTGAAATCATGAGACTTTTATATGTCAGTTAGTTATTAGCCAACTAGCCAATATAAGCATGAGATTTAGGCAGTGTGGTAGAGTATAATTCGATTGTGGATGAAATTTTATTTTGATGAAGTCACATAGTGTATTTTGTTTTATTCCGTCATGTTCCCAGTGAAACATAGGGGGCTTCAAACTAGACGCTTGAAGTTTCAGTAGCAGTGGTGATCATTTTTACAGGATGGGGTTGCTAGCCTCATTTTCACCCCTTCCTCTTTACCAACTTAATTACTAGCTTAGAGAGGTATAGCAGTGTGTCGGCCACGGATAGAAACCCGGGTCATATGCATGGTTGGCGAGCGTCATAACCACTGTACCACCGAAGCGCACAGTGTTGCACGGTAATATTTACTGTGATGACCACGTTTCGAGTGCACATTGTTGGTCATAATCATATCAAGGCACTCACACAACTTTCTTCCTTCGTTCATAGACATGAGTAAAAATTGATTAGACATTTGGATGAAATCGTCATAAGACAGGGGTGAAAAGCGAGGAAGATATAGAAAATTAGAAAGCAATATTAGTGTTATCAGTAAATACGATATGATGAGAATTAAGACGAAATGAAATCATTTGTCACCTTCTTTTAGATACCATATTACTTCTTACTCTCTCAGACAATGTTGAGAACAAGATATCAAGCAGTCTCCTTCGCTGTCTGTTTCACTAATACTGACTACGTCCCCATATGTAGCGCATTTACACACTTGCTGAATTCTCTTACTTTTGAATGAAGAGAATGCAATTATATTCAGAAGAATAAGGCTGTATGATTATTATCCATCGTTTGTGTTCTAAGTGAAATACAGGGCTTCCAAGACAACTCTCCATTTCACAGTGTTCTCTGAAATCGTTTCCAACTGCCAGCAAGATCGCTCATATGCCTTCGTCTTCTTATACGATTTCCTCCGTGTTGCCTTCAGACGCCAGGCTATTCATTCCCCGTTCGACCTCACTCTTCGGAACCAGGTCCTCGGTTAATTCACGGCACTGCCACAATCCATTCACGCAAATCCTTCCAGACCAGTAATCTTAGTTTCGGCATGAACCCAGCGAACGCGGCTATTAATAACAGTCTGAAACCGTTTGGAAATGCTTTTCGTGGCAGAACTAGTCACTGAAGCATAGAGAAGCGCTGACTGAATGGACATTAGTGTTGAAAATCTAAATCCTTATCTTTGTGTTTAATGCAGTCGATTTCAAGACAAATTTCAAAGTGATGGAAGTCTATCTCTTGCACTTCCGATCCTGGATTCCCTTGAAACTGACATCTGGGAGACGACCTGTGGTTGAGATGATGCTTATCAGATAAGTGAGTGGTAACTCACTTCAGACTTTCCCTTTTGAATGTGAGTCATGCTTCTGCAATGCTGGAACACAGTAGTATTTAGCAAGGCTTTTGTTTGTCAGCAACTCAATGTACAGGCATAGCAAAAAATACACCTATATTAGAACAAAATCACAATTCGTTCATGTCCTCCATACAGTGTATTTTTGCATGGCGTTAAAGTTTTCCATGTCGTTTTACACGAAGTCTCCATATCCTCACTTAGTCATCTAATCCATTCCTCA